AAAAAGTGTGTCAAAATGATGGTTCTTCCATTATCACCATTATTATTTTAACTATCTTCACTCTTTGGCAATATTCATAGCTTTAAAAAGCAATGATTAGACTTGGAATAAAACAAACATATGAAAGTGAATTTATATATCTGTTTTATTCTTGAATTTACAACAAAATATTAAACACTTAGATTGTTTACTTACAAGAATAACTTTATATTTACAACGTTCTAAAAACTAATACAATTAAAACTAATGCAATATTTATCACTTACCAATTTATAAAGAAATAAATATGAAAACAAATTTTTATTCATAAATTTATAAACATTTACTAAATTAAAATATGTGAACCGATTATAAGGAAATCCTTATTATTTACCATTTTATAAAGTTTAAATCAATCAGTTGATGTTTTGGCAAACATTCCAATAAACAATCTAATAAATAAGTAATGTTTAATAATTTTGTTGTAAATTTTCAAGTGCAAATTAATTTTCATATGTTTAGGTTTTATTACAATTCTAGTCATTGCTTTGAAAAGCATATATAATAATATATAAATATTACCAAGGAGTGAAGGTAGTTAAAATAATGGCAGTGTCAATGGAAAAAAATCCATCCTTTTAACTTTGTAATTTTGTATGAACAAAGGTTCATGATTGCCAAAGTTTTAGCCAATCCTAAATTTTAAAGCAAATACAATTTACCCCCTTTTTTCAACTCTTTTAGCAGATCATAACTGATCTACTAAACAAAAGCCAAACAGCATTTAAGCTCCAAATGTTCATTATGATTTGATAATGGTGGTGGTCCATTGATCTTGAAAAATTATGGCTGTGTAGCTACACATAAACACAGGAATGGTTCTGCTGGCCAAGTCGAAACCTACAGTGCTGCACATAGATGAAATACTGGAAGTCCACTGATATTTCAGGGATAGGTGTTTCTCTGTGGCAGCGTTCTCTAACTGCCTTTGCTTGTTTGGGATGTTTCACTTCTAATGTAGTTTGTGCTTTCTTCTGAGAACACATTAGCAAATATGACAAGAAGTTTCATAAAGGAAATGCTACACTGCTGCAGACTATTTTCCAGGTTCTTTTTGTAAGGCTTACAAAGGCAGATTCTATTTTTGTGTTCTTTTGCCAGTTCTCTAAGCAATAAGTACTTTTAGAAATGATGATACTCCATCCTAATGATGTGGCCTGATCAACAGATACAGAACTTCAAAAGAACTGCTTCAGTAGATAAAGACTTGGATCTGTCAAAAACTTTTAAATTGATGAACTTTTCCTGTCATCATATGCTACAAATATAGATATTAATGAAACCTCTCCAGTTGTTTCAGAAGCCATCAACACAATCCATGCTTCACAGCCATATAAATTTGATGGGAATACAGCAGTGTTGTGTATCTTCAGTTTTATGGCCATGGTAGCATCATCATGATCTAACACCTTGTTGCTTAATCACACAAGAGCCTGAGTTGCTTTTCTAATTCAAGCTCTCTTCATCCAGTGAGCATTTACTGTAGATAATACTTGTATTTGAAACTTTCAACAGGTTTCAATACAATCTTTTGTGCAGAGGTCTTCCTAGATAAGGCTTGTTTTCACTTGTATGCAGGTCATCATAATACCATATGTACATACCATTTTCTGATTACAGCATTTTCTTTTTAATGGTACAAGTTAGTAACAGACAGAATAGAATTGGTGCCAGAGTAAAGCCCTATTTGAAATGTCAAAAAGCTCTAATTAGCTACATTGGGCATGTTTGAACATGCTGTCATTAAAGAGTCTGATGATTTTGACAAACTTGCATAGACACCCATAGCAGGCAAGCACTGGCTAAAGGGCTTCACTGCTGACAATGTGAAATGACTGGGTCAGGTCAATGCTAATGAAAATAGAAGTGAGATCAAGGTTCAGCCCTTGGCACTTCTCTTGAACATGCATTACTATGATCTGCTACACAAAAGTAAAATACACAATGTCAGGTTTTATTATGATAGCTAATAATTTCATTTTTGACATGAGGAATTATCATTATTATATGCCTTACTATGCAAGCCATCATATATGTATATGCATTTAGTTGGATTGATTTGAGCTTTTGACTCTGGGTTTCATGACCTTGCGATCGTCAGCTCTGTCACTGATATTGAGCACTTTTCAATAAGTACCGCGTATATATAATATATAAGTAATATTTAAAAAAATTATATATAATGGACTCCCCCATTGGTATCAACATATAAGGATCTGACAACTTAACCAATTGATTCAGTTATGAATCTTGTGCAATAATAAGGGACACATAAGACCTGCAAGTGATTTGCAAAGGAGGCTGCATATAAAAAAAGAGTGAGGATTGTGGGATGATGTCACTGTTAGATTAGCTATCCTTTTAGATGTTTCTCTTGCTTCTTGAAGATGATTCAGAGTAGCAGATTGAAAACCACTGAGTCTACTAAAACACATTGATCTCCACTCTACCCACTCCAAGGATAAGCGCTCGAGAGCGTTATGAGGTATATCGACAACTGACAAGAAGCTCTTCAGCTTGTCTTTGTATCTAAGCCATGGGCGTCTTACACACACACACATATATATATATATATATATATATATATATATATTAGATGTGCCAAAAGTAAAGGGATAGCAGTATGTAAAGGTAATGATAACTGACACCACCATATCTTGACATGATGAAAATACCCTCACCTATATTAGTTGAGCTCTAACATCAGCATAATCACTAGCTTAGTTGCTCTTAGTAAAGTGACATGAATTATCAGAGTTTGAATGAAGGCATTATAGTGAATGCCAAATGAATGAGATATTCTATTTCTGAAATTGTGGAGACATTTGATATCTCTCCATATATTGTGTTATGTGAACCAGAAATACCGGATGAAAAGCATTACCACTCACAATGGATTGTGCAGTGATGAACCACAGGTCCTTAATGATTGCAACTAAAGGTGCCTAGTCAGAATTGTCTTCAATAATAGACACTGGCTCAAATAATCAATATTTAATGCAGAAGGTACCAGACACACATTTAGCAAATATGTCCAGAATTCTTTAGCTTCCATGGTATATGGGAGCAGAAGATCTACCAGGTTCCCTTGTTAGAATTACAGCACTGGACACAACACTGCACCTGGGCTTATGACAAGGTTCTGGCTATGAACCCCAACTGTAACCAAGGCACTATGCAGTTGGCTGTTCTATAATTGTGTATTTTATGTTCATGTGACAGGTTGTGTTCACTAATCCACCTAAACATGTCATTGACCAGTGACTACTATGTTGGGTCCACCTAAACATGTAAATAGTCAATGATGGCCAATGATCATTTCCACCCATCCATTGACTCAATGTACTCCAGTCATGTTGTGGGAAGTAACACAACAACTAAACTGATAATAGCAGGTAGGAACAAAGAACCGTGAGGAGGGTAACCAAAAAAAACCCCAGTGTCACACGTCCAACCTTCTCATGAGCCAAAAGCCTGCTGATCCGAAACAGCAAAACGCGCTTGCTTTATACAGCCGAGGATTGACCACGATTTGCATGTGAATGACGAGACAACGAGTTTTCGCGTTAACTAACCGAGACCTCCCGGCATAAAATATGGGCGCCGCCATTTTGGTTCCTTTTACCGCTGGAGAACTGGAGTTTTGCACACTGCACAGATTCGCAGGCGTTTCTGAGGTAGGCCATTTTCACAATTTTCCCCACACATGTCATTAGGCCCAAGTTGCCCAGAATTTACCTAACATGAGCCTGATTGAGGATTTATAGGACATAGTGGAGATGTCTCTTCACACACAAGATTCTGCACCTACAAATATCTCAGCTATTGAGATGGCATTTCTCTAGAGGACTTCCAACCACTTGTGCTATTGATCATTTTGCACTGCAATTTACCTGACTAGAGCAGATATCTAGGTATTAGATACCTATAATATGATGTTTGGAAAATCAGTATATATTATAGATATTCTCTGTTATCTAATAATATGTTTTCAATATAATCTTGTTTCTTAAATTATGTGATAAATATTAATCATTTTAGATTAAATATTTTTCAGTGAAAATTTCAGATCAAAATTCACTTAACTGTATATCAGGCTTCCGTCTAATATATCCTCTCTTCTACTTGCTGATGGTCTAACATTTTCACTCGGATAATGATGACTGGTTCTTTCAAATGTGATCAAGAATGGTGATACTTATATAAAAATAACATGGGATAAACTGCAAATTTTTCTACCAATAATGGAACAGTTAAATATTTTAAAATCATTAATCATGCACATAATCGTATTGTATCATATCATATCATATCATATCCTATCTATCTATCTATCTATCTATCTATCTATCTATCTATCTATCTATCTATCTCCCTCCCCAGTCACTTTATTAGGTATACTCTAATAGTACTTGGTTGGACCCCCCTTTATGATCATCTCAATTCTTCTTGGCACGAATTCAATGATGCTCTGAAAGCACGCTTTTGAAATTTCAATCCATGCTGTTATTAGAGCATCCTGCAGTTCCTGTAGATTAGCTAGCTAAACATGCAGAATCTGAATCTACTAAAACTGAAAGGTGCTATATGGGATTGAGCTCAGGTAACTTTAGAGGCCACTTTAACTCAGAAAACTCATTGTGTTCCATGAACCAATCTGTCACTATTTTTTTTCATTGATTGATCAATTTGTTTTCTATGGCTTACTAACTTTTCACAGGTCATTTACAGCCATAAAATATTTTTAGATTGTAAGAATTTTTCTTCTTTTGAGCTAATAAGTGTTTAGTGATATAAGTTTTATTAATTAACCCATAGATGGGGGAGAACAGGTGGATTCATACCTTTCCCAAGAGTATTTGCATATAAGTGAATATAATGGTCCCAACAAGAATTCAAACTCAGCTCTCTGATTAGCAACGCGAAGCCATTATCCCTTACACCATCTGCACATCCAAGCTTATAGCACCTGATATTTCCAGGTAGTCACCCATCTATGTACTGACCAGGCTCGATGTTGCTTAACTTCAGTGATTGTATGGGAACCAGGGTTTGATGTGGCCATAAGCCTGTCACTATATTTGATTTGTGACATTATTCATTGTCTTGATGGACATAGACACCAAATGTAGTCATAAATTGAGCCACAATATCTAGGTAGTTTCCATCATTTAAACAATCTATTATTGGTACCAAGTGTCCTATGTATACCAAGAGAATATTCCCATACCATTATCCCACCACAATCACCAGTCAGAACTACAAGGCAGGAATATATTCATGTTGTTTATGCCAAATTCTGACCCTACTACCCAAATGTCATAGTAGAAATTGAGACTCATCAAACCAGGCAGTATTTTTCTCATCTTCTAGTGTCTAAATTTTGTAATCCTTAGTAAACTGTAGCCTCAGTTTCTTGTTCATATTTGAAAGCACCCAACATGTTCTTCTGCTGCTGTAGCCCATCTGCTTCAAGGTCCAATGTGTTGTGCATTTAGAAATGCTCTTCTGTATACCTCCATTGTAAAGAGTGGTTATTTGAAGTTGAAATAGTCTAACCATTCTCCTCCAGCCTCTTTCATCAACAACAGATTTCTGCCTATAGAATTGCCACTCAGTGGATCTTTTACTTTTTCATTCTCTGTAAATCCTAGAGACTGGTGTGCATGGAAATCCTAGTAGATCAGCAGTTCTTTAAGTACTCAAAACCTGCACATCTTGCATTAACAAATATACTCATTCAAAATCAAATCACCTTTCTTTCACATATGAGTGCATGACATGAAATTCAGCAGGTTGCTATGACTATGTTTAAATGTCTATATTCCCCATACTATTACACAACTACTAGCAGCCTGAACCACAGACATGATAGGATTCATGTTGTTTATATCAAATTCTATTTTTATCATCTAAATGTCAGTGCAGAAATCATGACTCATCAGACCAGGCAATTTTTTTCCAATATTTTATTGTCTGATTTTTCTAATACTTGGCAAATTGTAACCTCACTTTCTTGTTCTTATCTAACAGGAGTGGCAACTGGAATGGTTTTCTGGTGCTGTAGCCCATCTTCTTGAAGGTTCAATATGTGTATTCAAAAATGCTCTTCTGCATACCTGTGCTGTAAAGAGTGGTGATTTGAGCTACAATTGCTTTTATATCAGCTTGAACCAGTTTGACCATTCTTTCCTGATTTATTTTATTAACAACAGATTTCCACTGACAGAAATGCTGCGCACTGGAATTTTTTTCTTTTTCTGACCATTTTCTGTAAATCCTGAAGATAGTTGTATATGGAAATCCTGGTAGATCAGCATTTTTGAAATACTCAAACTTTGGCGCCAATGACCTTACCACGGTTAATATCACTTGACTTTCCCATACTGATACAAATTGCCATGACCATATTTAAATGCCTATATTGATCAAATTGCTGTCACATTGCTGGATTAGAAATTTGCATAAAAGAGCATTTGTTTACATGTACTTAATTATGTGGCCATATTTTTATCATATTAAATGTAACTGCAGAAACAAAGAAAATTGCCTACTTAACAATAAATGTTTAACCAATAACATAATATATAATGCCATCATAAATAATAAGATTAACACAGATGAAAAAATTTATATGCCACAGAGAAAAACTTAAAGATATTATAACCAAAGAATATCATTTGAAAAAAAAAAATACACAAACAATACAACCCTATCAAAATACATATGGAGCCAAAAAGAAAACAATATCCCCACCAAAATCAAATGGGAAATTATAAAAAGAACAGCCCCATACAGTATTAACAGCAAAAATTGTAAATTATGCTTAGAGGAAAAATTAGCAATAATTAGTTTTAAAAACCAAAATAAAGTCTTAAACAAGAAAACTGAAATAATGAGTAAATATAGGCATATAAATAATTATTTACTTTGACATCTAAGCACTAACTAAAAATAAACAAATAAATATAATATAAACTTTAAATAAATAAATGAAATAAAAATATAATACAAAAATAAATAAATAAAAGAGACATACAATATAAACTTAATTTATTAATAAACAAATAAATGAACAAATATTAAAGTATACATCTATATCCATGCGTGTACATGTACATACGCAAACACCAAAAAATGAACCCCCCCCATGATTAATATCTCAATATATAACACCAAGGCAAAACAAATAAACTACTAACCATTGAATAAAAATGAAACATTAAATAAACGATAATATATGATATAAGTATACACTTATTTTAATTATATATACACTATTTAACAATTACATATACATGCGTGTGTGCAGCATGTATGCGGTATGTGTGTAAATTTGCAGGAGTATGTAATATATATATATATATATATATATATATAAATGATATTTAAAAAATTAAATAACTTCACCATTTGAGCACAAGTTTATTAATAACAAAGCACAGACATAAGTATACATGTACCTATATATACTCATCTGTGCACATATGTATGCATACATATACATATATACTTAGCTGATGTTACTTTCAGCATTCCAACTCCAGAGTTTTGTAGATGGTCCCTCTGGGAATCACTCCATCCACTCGTCAGGGAGTATCAGCTTTCCGCTTATATATATGAAGAACCAAATTCCAATTCCATCTGGGTTTGTTATATTCATTTATATGCAAATAGCCATGGGAAAATATGAATCTATCTCTTCCCCTTTCTGTTATGGGTTAATTAGTAGGATTTGTTTCAGTAAATCATTATTACCTCAAAAAAATTCTGATAATTTAAAAATATTTTCTGGCTTTAAATAACCTGCAAAGGGTTGATAAGCCATAAAAAAACAGATCTATCAATCTTCTTATATATTTAATCCTTAAATAATTTCTATATTCTGTATCAAGAGAGAAATTATATAAACAAAAATCTATCTTTATTAAAGCTTTCAGCTGTAATTGCAGCAGGAGGTGCTTCTACAAAATATTGACTTGGGGGTTAGGATTGGATACTTATGTATCCAAGAGATTACTGATTGCTGGTCTTAATTATTGTTTGTGTTACAATAAAATGTATTTTGCACCTTCCAAGCACTGTGCATTTTGTGTTGATCAAATGGTAAAAACACTACTTAAGTCAAGTTGAATTCCATTTGGTAAAGATGTCATGGTTTGTTATACAACATAACAGCCCCTGCAAGACCATCATGCGAGGCACTGTTGAAGGTGGATGCAAGCAGGAACATCAACACAAGAGCTGGTCAGGCAACATCAAAGAGTAGATGGACATGACAATGCCGGAACTCCTGAGAGTTGATCCTAGAGGAAATTGTCTGTTTCTTTTGCCCTTACATTTCCCTGACAACGCAGTCAAGGGACTGATGGTGGTGATGAACACTACAAAATATGGAAAAGATCAAGTGTCTGGGGGTGGTGAATACTTATGCAAAACAACTATGTATATATATATATATATATATATATATAAAAATGGACATTGATGTCAACACCCAGTGGCAGTGTAATCTGTTATCAATCAAATCTCAAATTGAACATTTCATATGAGTTAGTTTCCCTGGACCTAAACTAATCTATTTCTAGTAGTTTTGTGTAATCTTAGAAAAAGTGGTTTCCATGTAAGTATTAATAAAAATCAACCATCTCCAAATAGTGTGTTAAAAAGTATAAGATGTTGAGATCTAAATTAAGTTGCAAAACATGAGACTAATCGCTTCTATATATCTTTTGCCTTCAGGACATGTGTGATCATAGCTCTCCCCCAACTTCTTGTCATTTGTAGTCCTTAGTAAAATTTGTCTTTTTCTTGACTGATTACTAGGTTTCCTTTATAAGACATCCATAAGGGAAATGGAATGAAATGAAAAATAGAATACATGAACACTGATATTTCAATTGTTCTTTTACTGACGAATGCCATACAACCCTTAATGTGTTACATGGTTAGAACAAAGGGCTAGGTGGTTACTGGAAGAAGCCATTTGCAAAGGTTGAGATGTCAAAAAGGACAAGGTGTTGTGTTGTTTTAGGGTGGGATTATAATAAAGTAGTGTTTAAAATGGATGCTCAAACATACATTGAGTTTTTTTGAAAGCACATGTGGTGCAATGGTTCAAGAAGAAACCAAACACTTTCAGAAAAAATATTACTTTTATACATGACAATGCTCTATCAGATTTGGCAAAGAAAACTAATGAATATCTGAACAAAATGGGTTTTGATGAAGTGGCCAGCTTATTTGCCAGATCTTAACCTAACTGAAAACTTACAGAGCATTCTAAAGATGAAAGTTTATATTGGGGGTTGGCAATTTACCAGCAAAGATGACTTTTAGAATGCTATTCTGGGAGCTATGTAGCCTGTTTCATATGAAGAAATACAACTCACAAAATCAATGGATGATTGATTTTTCAAACTAGTTTCAGAACATGGAGCATACATTTTACCTTAATGCTGTCTTTATAACTTTGTCATTATTACAATCATGTTGTCTTCAAATTTTTCTTCAAAACATTTGTCTTTGCAAATTGCTCATATTTTGTAATTATAATTTCTAACTGCAAAAAAATTTTTCTTGGTTTCAGTAACCTGGCTAATAACATTATATTTGGTCAAATTCATATAACTGTTGCCAATATTATAAGAATGGTAAGCAATCTACTATAATTTATAAAGATTATGTGAAATAACCTACACATTAACAGTGAAAATATTTTCATGTAATCCTTTCATAAGTTTTCTAGAAATTAGGAAAAATGAAAAATGGCTAACAATGTAAAATGCAATGTATATTACCTCCTTTAAAATTTAATTGGATTCTTTTCCCATGGGTTCCTTTTTCTGCATTTCTTTGAATCACAACTGAAAATGTTCCTATGATCAACTTGTTGATTTGTTTTCTATGGCTTATCAACAAGTTATTTAAATCCAGAAAATATATTTAGATTGTAAGAATTTTTTTTGGAGGTTTAGTGATACAAATTTTATTAATTAACCCATAGCTGAGAAGAGGTGGGTTCATACCTTTCCCAAGCATATTGGTATGTAAG